ATACTATGGCAGTGCTTGAATGATTTTATGGGAAGTTGCTGCCTACGGCATATGTTTTACTGTCTTATACTGAATGCATGAGGAAAGACAATCTGTTTTTTCAGCCTGAACAAATATATGATCCAGATTGAACCACTAGAGGCCAAATATAATTGCTCTGTGTTTTGCTTTCTACTACTCACTACCTATAGCAACATCCTCTTGTCTAGCATGTCATCATAACACACAGTTCAAATGATGGCATTGGAAAATACTTTTTTCCTCTACTGAGGGTTATAAAATGACTACCCAAGGCTTAATGTAACCCTCTACACTTCATCTGTCACTGGAGAAATAGTTCATGATAGGAAACAGCTTATGCACTTTGACACAACAGGGTTTGAACCTTATTTATTTTTGCTGGACAGATCCTTGTTTAACGTCTAGCCAGGTGAAAGGTGTTGCTGCATCCTTCATGCCTTCACTTCTAGCTGGGGAAAAAGAGAAGTACTTGGCCTGAGTAAGCAGTTTACATTATAAACGATAGAAACCAAATCCTGACTATTGGTTTACTTTGAAGGAAAGCACTACAGTGTAAATAAACTACAGAAAATACCCCAAAACACTTAATCTTTTTAATTTTGTTCCTACTATTATGTTTTAGAGCACGTAGAAGTATGCATCTAGTTTTGTAAGGCTAATAGGACTGGGTTTATGTCCTCCCCCAAAGTGCTTACAGTCTAATTTTAGACATAATATGCTGAATGGCAGTAAAAAAAAGTGTTCCATGTTGGAGGGAAGAATGAGGGATAAAGGAGCAAGACTTGAATGTGTAAGTGGATAAATGCAAGTATTTTTCTTTCCTTCTTTAATAATAACAATGCTTCATTCCTTTTAGAATTTCTGGAAAAACTGAGTATAAAAGGTTATAGAGGTTTGGAAAAATATCTTTCCAAGACTTTTCTTATGTATGCTGTGAAGATTGTTTCTGCTTTTCATGGAAAATCTGCAGAACTATGTTTACCAGGTGCTAATCTAAAGTGCACCTGGCTTTCCTGAATATTTACATTTATTTTGATTAATACACAGCTTAACTGTACTGATTCCCTGTCCTGAGTCACTTTTCCCATCTATCGTGAATTAACACTGTGCCCACAGTGATCTTCTAAATCACAGTTTGAAAAACTATGGAAAAACAAGTGGCGGATGAGTGGAGGATGGTTTTGTGACTGCAGGAGTGGGCTGGGACTTAAAAGGTTCAGGTTTATTCCACACATAAAGACTTTCTGTTTAGGCTTAGTCAAGTCCCTTACCTTTTCTATGACGTGGTCTCCATCTATGATATGGGAACAACAAGCTTGCTTTTTTCCTCCTGTGTCTGTTTTCTGTAATAGTGCCATAAGAGATCTCGTCCAAGTGAAAACTTGTACTGTGTGTAGACTCCACTTTAGTTGGTATTACTGGAATACAACTAAACAAGAGCAATTTTTAATACCTAAACACAAAGGAAGTAAGAAAATGTAATTTTAACTGATTCAGGGCTAAAGAAATTCAGCAAAAGAAATTGCATCTTTTTACTGTAAATTCTTAGTCACTTCTTCATTTTATTTTGCCCTCCGTGCAAGCTTTAATGAGGACAAGCCACATTTATGCCCATGTCAGTAGGATGTAATTATAGGGGATTGTATCTGAAGACTGTGGCAGCTGAAACTACCAGTAATGTTCTGGTAGATTTTCCTATTTTAAAAAGAGTGGGGATGAAGGGGAGCAAAATTACTCACAAGGTGGATTTTTGTCATTTGAATGAGTCTTTTATGAAGTCTTTAAGCATATATATGCTGATCTTAATCTTTCCTTAGTCTAGAAGGTAGACATGCAATGGTATGTGTCAGAGACACCCTTTACCCTCCTGGATACTGTTTTTACTTACACTTCTCGGTAGAGCTTATAGGCAGAATCCTTCCAGGTTTGATTTTCAGAGTAGAATTTCTCCCTGGCAGTGAAGTGATAGTGCTACAAAATGTGCCTCCAGTATCTTACTACGTTGCACATCAGATTTTCTACTAGGAATTCTGAAGGAATGGGCTTTTATTTTTATCTAATGTACTGGATATATTGCAGCACTACTATATTACAGTACTATGGAAAGTCCATATGTTACAATGGAAAGAGTAATTTTAGCTCCTTAATTGCTCACTTCATAGTCAGACCAGGGCCTTTTCCAGCCAAGCTGTGAAATTTCAGAGATTTCAGAGATTTGAACACAGATTGCACAGTGTGGTGACCTGACCCTGGCTGGATGCCAGGTGCCCACCAAAGCTGCTGTATCACTCCCCTCCTCACCTGAACAGGGGAGAGAAAACATAATGAAAGCTCGTAGGTTGGGATAAGGACATGGAGAGATAGCTCACCAACTACCATGATGGGCAAAACAGACTTGACTTTGGAAAAATTAATTTAGTTTATTACCAATCAACTCAGAGTAGGTTAATGAGAAAATAAACACAAATCTCAAAACACCATCACCCCACTGCTTCCTTTATCATCGGCTTAACTTTACTCCTCTCCTCCCTCGCAGTGGCACAGGGGGACGGGAATTGTGATCAGTTCATCACATGTTGTCTCTGCCACTTCTTCCTCCTCAGGGGAGGACTCCTCACACCTTCCTCTACTCCAGTGTAGGTCCCTTCTATGGGCGCAGTCCTGCAGGAACAGACTGCTTCAGAATTGATCTCCCATGGGATCACAAGTCCTGCAGCAAACCTGCTCCACTGTGGGCTCCTCCCTCCATGAAGCCACAGGTGCTGCCAAAAACTTCAGCACAGGCTTCACATGGCATTACAGCCTCCTTTGGGCATCCCTCTGCCCTGGTATAGGGACCCCCCTTCCTTCTTGTCCCTCCAACTTCCCTCTCCTCTTTCCTATGTTATCCCAGAGGCACTGCCACTGTCACTGATGGGCTCAGCCTTGGGCAGCGCTGGTTACGACTTGGAGCTGGATGGAATTGGCTCTACCAGACACAGGGGAAGCTTCCAGCAACTTCTCACAAAAGGTCACCCCCTGTAGCACCCCCTGCTACCAAAACCCTGCCACCCAAACCCAGTACACACAGCCTCCCTGGGCAACTTGTTCTGGTACTGAACTACATTCACACTGATTTTTTTCCCCTTATAGGTAGTCATAGCTTTCTTCCCTGCAAAATGTGTCCTCTATGCCTTCTTCATAAACAGAATTAGATAGCTGAGGACAACAGTCAGAGGTCTCACCATCCCTTTTGCGAAGCTGGACAAACCCAGATCTGCTGTTGTATGTCATGAGCTGCAGCCCCAACCATCTTTGTGGCCCTCCACTGCACTTGCTGCAGTCTGTCCATCTCTCTTCCATGCTGGGAAGCCTCAAACTGGGTACAACACTCCAGATGTGGTTTTTCAGATGCCCAACAGTGGGAAATACTCACTTCCCTCAACCTGCTGGGTAAATTCTTGCTAGTACAGCTCAGCATACTAGTGTACAAGAGCACACTGCTGAGATGTTCAACTTGGCCACCAGAAAAACACACATACACTTCCTGATACTCTTCTGAAGAGCTGCTGTGTCTTCAGAATTATTGTGCTGGTTAAAGGAAACATCATGTGGAAGAGCATGTGCACCTTCTATATACATCAGTAATTTCTATGCTTTTCCCTTTGTTCTTGGAAGAGATTTGAGTCCTTTCTGCACCAGGAAGGAGCCATTTTCACTGTCTTAAAGATATTTATCTGCATTAATTACAGTACCTATTCATGTTGTGTTAAGGCATCTGCTAATAAGAGTCCCAGCAAGTCAGACAGAAGCCAAAGGCCTGCCCTTTTTTGGTTGACTCATTGCCCAGCATAACTGACAAGCATTTCACTTGTCTTGTTCCAAGAAAGAAAATTAGCAAAACATTGATAGAATCAATTACTACTGCTTGCAAAATCTAGTACAAGAATTTAAAATACAGAACATGCACTGCCTTGTACTCCTTCAGTGTGCTGTCTGGCTGCTGATTCATGGTGTTATGGGTGAAATGTACTTCTTTTCTGATCCAATTCATAGATGGTTTCACCAGTACAATTGCATTATTAATGGTAAAGCAGAACAATAAGAAAGGATATTTGTTATCATCCATATTGAAGGCCTCAAAGCTCTGCAGGCTTATGTCTGCAAATACCACATGTGCTGTATGCTGTAAGGATCAGACATGGGACATGCAAGAATTTTTACAGTGATATTGAGTGTTTGATCTTCCTTGTAAATAGATTTAGCAGCACATTGGTGATTTATTTTGCCTGGGTGTATTTGTCAGTACACAAAACATGCAAGCTCATGCAAGCTCAAAACTGTGGTCATGTTTTCCCAATTGTAGTAGCATGACTTGTGTAAGACTTTCTTCATTCACTCCCCTGTTTTAACTTCTTCTAATGGATTGTACGGTATTAAATTTGTTCCCAGAACGGATCCTGTTCATTTGGGGCAGTGATGACACAAGTGAGCTACCTCTCAGATTGTGATAGTTTGTACATGAAGTCTGTTGCTCAGAAAGAAGTTGTTTCAGATGGGCAATTAGGTTCAGTATGTATCTTATCTCTTCAATAAGCTCAAACAGCAGGATATTTGTGGTCAGTTGTAGAAGAAATGATTTTTCAGACTCAGGAGAGGACTCTCCTATTGGTTAGCTTTCTTCAAAGCCACTAATTATATCTGGACTGCATAAAGGATTGTGATACCAAAAGTAGTATCTGCATATATTGCATCATTTCTCCCAGAAAATCTTTTTGTCTTGTGCATGTTTCCATTAATTCTACAAGTGCTGCTCAGAAGCATGTGGCTTTAGTAATAGGTTGTTCTAATGTCTTTAATGAACCAACTAGTGGTTGAATCCCTTTCTATTAATGAAGACTGTTCATTGATAGCCTTCTACTAATGGTGAAGTAGGATCAATATGGACACTGGGTCAGGGTTCTGAAAAATATTAATTATTAATATTCTTTCTTTTTCAGTTTTCTCCTTGTGTTTGGTTGCTTGATTTTGTCCGTGTTTTCTACTATTCCTGAACACACAAAACTTGCCTCTGGTTGTCTCTTCATTTTGGTAAGTGGAACTTCTAAATACAAGATAGTTTTATAGATACTTTTATATCGACTCAAATCCTCTCCTCCCTCACCATGGAGAAAATAGTATAGTTCCTGAATTCTTTAAGAAATCAGGATTTTCATCAGAATGATGAAAAACTAATAAAATAGAGGATTCCACCATCTTTTTTTTAAAAAACAGTGTTAATGCTGTCTTGCATCCCCTTCTTTGCTTGAGAATTGCTGTAGTTTATAACCGATAGTTTTTCTACTGCAGTTTGGCAGTGACTGAGCATGAAAGACCTTTGATACTGCTGCTGCCATTTATAAAGTCAGTATGTAGTAAGAGGCACTTATACTTAAAATAGGAAATAATTTTGGTATCTTAGATACCAATTTCTGCTAGCTATTGGTAGGTACTAACATTTTAGTAGCAGTTGCAGCAGTAGGATGTGGTAGTTTCAGTATTTCTTCATAACACATGATTTTGTATTTTGTTTGTATCTCCTTTTTCCCTCCTGAGGTAGATGTAAATGAATTTAATCCCTTAAAGTGCTTAACGTTTTTCGTACGTTATATGGACGCCACTTTATTCATCTGTTTCTTGATGGGCCATTTAGTTCTGCAAGTGATGGCCTGAGGATAGGCAGTAGTGATCATTAAAATGTCACTATATATCCAGGGTTACCCTGGTTATTTCAGTCCCAGGTATACAGCAGACCGTGGCTCGTTAGGTAGTGCCTGGGGTGAAGCAACTGTTGACAAATACCAACATATTAGTTATCATCACCATCTATATCCAAAAGCTCTGGTCTTCAGAACAGCTCCCTAATTAATTATGGCATGAGCAGGCCAATAAGCGTAATTATGGTTTATGCTATATCTCTACAGCACAGTGTGCCATTGCATCAAGATATTTGAACTAAACATCCAGAGCTGGCTAGGTGCAGATGTGTGATATTTTGCTCCATCTGATGATTTTGTAGCAGGACTAATTAGGAGAGCAGTGCTAAATGTGGTATTTTGCTTCTGTAGCCATACTAGTTAGTGTTTTTTCTTTTTCTGGAGAAAAGATCAGGTGGCATTAAACCAGTTAAAAGTGATCAGATTTAATCCTACACTCATATCTAGTCCCATTGTTTATATATCTGAACAACAGTTTGCAAGTGGAAGTTTGTTTGAATGTTCTGCTGCTAGCTATAATATTGCAATTACTACACTAATTGCTAAGATTTTCTGGTATAGAAAACAGGAAAATTTTATTAGTCTGAAAGTACCCTCTTTCTAGTAGCAGGTGCTTTTGTGACAAGTAATCTGTTTCCCTGTATACTTATGCTAAGTGGTTGTAGAAACACCATTTGTTCTGCCATAATCTATGCATTTCCCATGAGCCACATATTTGCTGATTGTGTTGGTACGCTTACCACTGTTGATTTCTCAGCTGGCTGATAAACACATTCTCTGTGCTTTGCCATGGCTCTCCCAGGAGCCTGAATGTGAACGAGTCCTGGGTTTGCTCCCACCATCGGGCAGAGGTGAGCTCTTCTAGCTGATACACCAATCCTTGTTGAGATGTCCATCACTGAAGAAGAGTTGCTTGGGAAACTGGTGCTTTCTGTTGCTGCAGCTTCAAAGATGGACTTTTTCCATCTTAAGAGTTCTGACTGTACATCCTGTGCCATCTTCTGAACACAGAAATAGCCTTGAGGAGGAAGAGGATGGATGTTTAATCTGTGAAGTATCAATACTAGCCCGGTCCAACATTTCTATGCTATAGCCTAGTGGGTTCAGCAAACCCTTGGCAGGAATAAATCTGTGATGACGAATTTTACGGCTCCTGCTGTGGGTCTCTAATGGAGAAAAATATAAACACAGCAAAGTGTGAAGTTCCAGAAGCAGGCTAAAGCTGACTGGTTTATTCCAGTTTGCTGATGCATGATTTACTCCTCTGCATATTGAATCATTATCTGATACTAGCAATGTTATCAAAGCAGTCTTTTGCAACCACAAACCAAGAGAAAAATACATTTCTATGTTAACTCAGGAGCAGTTGTTTTGACTGTGCCAATACATAACTGCAGTCACTAGAGCTTGCGCAACCTTTTCCTTGCAGTGATTCACACAGCTCTTACAAATGTGTCATTTAGTAAAAAAAAAAAAAAAATAAAGTTGCATTAACTATCAGAGATCTGGTTTAGTACTGTTTTACTTCATGCCTGAGATGGAATATATATGTTTATTCGCTAGTGAAGTACCATGCAAGTATGCCAATCCATAATGCTGCCTGCTGGGTTTCTGTTAACTGTTTGCTTTGCAGGATTATTTCAGATGGTCCCCCCTACAGCCATGTTAATTGGCTAAAAGCTAATGTCATGTTCCTTCAGCTTAATACCTGAGCTTCTGCCTGTGCTGGTACCTGTGGCTTTTGACATAGTGCAGTTATTCACAGCTACACAGGGAGGTTAAAGAGAGAAGTGTAGATGAGATGAGCAAACCTTTCCCTTCTTCTCAGAAGGTCAGAGGATTGGCGATTACTGTTCTGTGATCAGTCAATTCCATTTATCTCCCCCAGCCTTGCCTTAAAAGGGAGCAGAAAACATATCTCCTAATCACTGCATCCTGAATACTCTCTCAGAAACATACAGCAGTGTGTGATAGCTCAAAGTAAGTAATTGCTTAGGAAAACAGTATTAGCTGAGCGTTTCTGAGCTTCAGCAGAGGTTAATAGACTCATCTGGACTGCAGAAACGCCTGAGCTCTACTCTTACAGGCCACATGAACCTGCCGTGCTGTGTTGTGCTGTACACAGCCAGGGCTTTAGCTCCGGCATCCGCACAAGTACTACTGTGTTCCTAGGCATCTTCCACTTATCAGGGGGCCTGTCAAGGGCAGCACATTTAGTATTTGATTTTTATGCTTGAAATTAAAGTCCTGCAGATAAGTTAAGTGCATGTTACATGCAGTAATGTTGGATTGTTAAAACAGTAATTAACTTGGTTAGATCTATGTCCAGAAATAATAAGCCTAACCGGGGGAGAGCATCAGATAAAACTCCTTATACCTACAGTGATAATTATGTTTTAGCCTCCTCTGTGCACACAGCTTCTGGCACCAGAGTTGTAGCAGTGATATATCCCAGACAGACAGTAGAATAAAATCTACTTCAACATCAAAAAAACCACAAGCAGCTTAAGAATCCAACTAACACAGCAAGAAAATAATCTTTGGTGTATTGCTGATCTCCTACAAATACATTTGCTGGCACTTTATCAAATAATAAACATAAGGGAAGTAAAACTTGGGCTGGGAAGGCAAAATCAAATCTTTTGGGGAAGATAGCCAAGAAGGAATATATCTGGAACTGGAGGTCGTTCACTCTCATGACCAAACCCTCTCTATTTTAAGATCATTTTCAACTAAAGCTATGTGAATAACCAGTTCACTTCTGTTTGTTTGCTGTCAATTCAAGAAAATAAATGAAATCATTTGAGTTGACCCACAAAGATTTGGCAAATCAAGAAGTCCAAAAAAAGTTTGATCACATTAAATGCTTCATTTGACCTGGCATAAAATGTTATTTGAGTATTTGAGCATTCTAGAATTTTTGGCTTAAAAGTAAAGTTGAGCCTGTAGGAATGAAACGTCATTATTATTTGAAGTGACAAAACATTCCATTTTTCCATAATTTTAATATTTAATCAAGGTGGAAAAATTGCAGAACGCGTGAATTTCTGTGGGACTGGTTTTGTCAGATCTGGTTTGTGTTTTTCTCTGAAAAAAAAAAAGCTGCACCCAGTTCTGTAGGATAAGGGCCCCTGAAAATGTACTCTAGGAACACATTCTTCAGGCAGAAATAGCTCCCAAAGACATAAAAGCAGAAAGAGTGCAGTCGATGAAGCTAGCTTCTACATGTACTGTGGTCACTTATATGAATTCAAAAGGAAAGTCTAGTAAGTGCTTCTAGCAATTAAGATCTTCCTAAGATTTTTCTGTTTTAACGTTTTCCCATAAAAGAAACATAGAAAGAGGATGAACATTGATTAAAAAACATAGGCTATAGCTGCCTCATAGCAGGCAAGCATATAGTCAGTTTGTCTCTGCTCTAGGGGAGTGTATCCATGCACAGCTATGTAATCATACAAATCTGCTACAAAATTTTAAAGCTGGGCAGAGTGGATATTAAAAAAGGAGATGGGTAGAGCTCCATTCAGAAAAGCAGCATTTTTTCAGTTTCTTGTCCCAGAACTTGAGTCCTCTTGCAATGCTTGGATAAAAGACCACCAGACCTGAGCAGAGAACTGGATGGGTGGCTTTCCAGTACCAGATAACAAGGAAAAACTGAATGATCTTGAGAGATTTCAATTATAGATACATTTCTAACAATGCACTTTCATTGACTCCTGTCAGATAAACTGACCCCTGAGCCAAAAAAATCTGTGACTTTCAAGTTTGTTAGAGCTTGTCAAAACTTAGGATTAGTATTTTTAAGGAAATACTAATTTCCAATGTTTTTTTCCTCCAAAATCAAAGGATGGCTTTGAAATTTCAAAATTTCTGCATAGTAATCTCTGAAAAATTACTTCCGTTAGATGTGCAACACTGATGTTATCAAAGACAGAATAAGAGAGGGAAATGTAATGTTGATAAGGTCAAAGACTTCATGTTTTCAGTCTTGTTTAGATCCACATACACTAATATTATAATAAGGTAATAACATGAGCATAGAACAATTCAAGCATGTCATAATAAATGACCTGTTAGCTTTGAAAGAAAATGTTTTTACCCTATTAAAATAAATAATTTCATGCCTTCATCGATTAAATTTATACTCTCCTATTCTGTATACTGATTTCATCAAATCAGAGCTGACTGATATTATAAAAATTTGGACCACATCTTATCACAACTGCTTGAGAATCTGTATGCAAACACAGCAGACTTCCCATTAGAAATGTAAGAACTGGTTGCACTTTTCTGAAACCTAAAGCTATTAGGAGGAAGCCTGACAGAAAGCAAAAA